CCCCCCCCCCCCCCTTCTCTTATGTTCTTGGACTGGAGAAACAATCTAATAGTGACAGGTTTCAATTTTGTGTAAGATTTAATGAACTAGTCTGTAAGTGACCTTTATCTTGATATAATTTTTCATTCACATTTTCAGTTCCAAGACATGGACTATGACTTCTCTGATTATTGTGATGATCAACTGAGCAAAACTTTCAATCCCTTTGCATGTGAACTTCAACCCTTACTTGTAAGTAAAGAGAATGGAATTTATTTTGTGTGTAATTTAAGTATCAAGGTTGTTATTTATATTTTCTCTAGCAAATGTATTATCAAAGATTTTGTCATGACTGTGTTTGGAAATGACTTTTACATCTGTACGTAAATGCACTTCCCTTGCTTACTTGACAAGGAGCAAATATTCTTTTGGCTGGTTTCAAAATAACACTTCACATCAGAAGTGCAGGATACCACTACCTCATTACAAAGGTATGAAAATGCCCTATTATCTTTTTCACTCCATATTTGGCAATCCGTTTTGTTTGAAATAACCTGTCATTTCCACTGTCCTTTTGGTTAAGCTTTTTAAGCATTGTAACTGACATGGTAATGACACGCATGCACTAAATTCATTACACAAAAACTAATTGAAAATCAAGTACAGTTTGTGTCAAAGAGACTGGTACTGGTATTTGTTTACATATGTCAGGTTTGGTAGCCACTCAATATGCCCGCAACACCCCAGGGTGAAACATAGGGCTGACTGTTAGACCTTTGATTCTGTTACTGTTCACATGAAATCATGCTGTCACCAAGTGACATGTGTCATAGGTTTGCCTTATTTGAATCAGTGGAAAAATCTAATGAATATTCAAAGGGAATGATTTCTTTATTATCTTTGTCCCTCACTCCATCCATTTTTCTCTGTTTTGTGCCTTTGCCTCCTACCCATTTTTCACCTTTTTTTCCTTTCCCATACTGTGTACTGCACTACAGGAAAAGATGAAAATATCAACCATGCTACCTTCTACATTATTTCGCAGGTTGCAGCAAATTTAATTTCAGAGTAAATGTTAATGTTCCTCTTAAGATTTGAGGGTACACCTAGTGTGTAGTACTGCCGTCTCTCTTATAAGATTATGAAATTGCATAGTACCCACTGTGAGTGCAAGGAATCATCAAATCGTCAGTCTGGCTTTTACACAGTAGCGATATCAAATATAAAAGTGTGTTTGTGAGTACAGTTTCCAGACACTGATTGAAATAATTGACTTTTCAGTTCCTAATGGACCCTGGTTTGTCCCAGTGTGAAGTGGAGACAAAGCGATTGCTTAGGTTACGTACTGAGTCATGCCTAAGGCCTACAGTGGAGACTCCAAGTGAGGCTGTGAGGTTGGAAGAACTTGTTCTACAGCAAGGAAAGGTTGTCACTGTCCATGGTGTAGACAGTTGTTCAGGAGAACCACAAGTTCATGAAGACTGGGTGCAC